ACCTAACCATTTCCATAAGAGTTTTGTTTCTTCTCTCTGCAACCCCGTTCTGCTGGTGCGTGCCGGGTGCAGTCAGCTGGGATTCAATACCTCCTTCTTATAGGTATGTCCTACACTCTCCAAAGAGATATTCGCCTCCTCGATCAGATCGAAGACACTTGATACTTTTACCTTGTTGTTTCTCCACAACTGTCCTATACTCCTTGAATTTTTCAAAGCATTCGGACTTGCGGTGCAACAAGTAAATGTACCCATATCTAGAATAATCATCAATAAAAGTGACGAAATACTCATAGCCTCCTCTAGCTTGGATCGACATAGGACCACACAAATCAGAATGAATAAATCCTAGCACTTCTAGGCTTATTCGCCCCTTTGCCGAAAATGGCCTCTTGGTCATTTCACCTTCTAGGCAGGACTCGCAAGTCTGGTAATGATCTTCTACTGGACCAAGATGCCCAGTAGATACCAACCTTGAATCCTCCTAAGGTTGATGTGCCCAAGCCTAAGGTGCCAAAGATATGCTTGATTCATCGAAGACTCTTTTCTCTTATTAGTTTTAGTCGAGACATTATTCGATTCATTTTGTTGCAGTGTGGGAGACTTTGGTTTCAAAACTGTTGACATCGTTTTCAGTAAACCAAGTTAAGCGACGCTGATCAGATGATTATGTTCATTAGGAGGGTGATTAAATTCGTACAAGTGGATGATGTCTTCACGGGTCTCCAGATAACCACACATCGGGTAAAAATTCATCGAGAACCGACATCTTCCTCAATTTACCGATATCTCATGTCGGTTATGACATGTCGGTTACTACATGTCAGATATGACATATCGGTTATAACTACACAAGCCGATATCTATGACTTTCCAAACCAACACCATAAGGCGGTGCCAACTCAGCACAACTCATCATTACGCCTGGCCAAGTGGCATGCTACCAGGATGAATGGCAATTAGCCGCCGTTGACTATTCCCATGTAATGATTACATTTCAGATAAATGTTGTAAATAAATAAATATAAAAGGAGAAAGGAGATTCTCCAGCCAGACAGGAGATATAGACACTAATATTCAGAAAATTCTATCTCATTCAGCTTTTCATACGATCTTTGTTAATCTATCTTGAACACACGATAAATCCTTGATTATCCTATAGTTGTTAATTTCCATTTAACAACAGTTTGGCGCTAGAGGAAGGGGTCATCACGTTTTGAGGTTAACTTTCGCTGTTATAGCCATTTCCGCGCTCGAAGTCACCATGTCGCAATCTGGTCGAGACCATACAGCTCATCCTGGCCAGAGCCAATCGACTAACCATTCCCCACGGCGTTCAACACCACCTCCTCCGGTCACGAATATCACGAACTTCCTTCAAAATCCGGAGTTTATTCAAGGTTTAACCTCTCTGATAGCTCGAGCCATGCCCAGAAACTCGAGTACGGTGCCATTATCAACGCCGTTTGTCACCAATCCAACAGAACATCCAAACCATACTCGTCATGACCCTGAAACGCATGCAGTGACATCCCATGCTACGTCACAGCCACATCATACTTCTCCACGTCGAGAGGAGTTAACTCGTATAACCGCTAACCCAGTAAAAAATAACCAGGCCCCAGAGGAACCCCCCGTACAGGAAATGACTGCTGAAAGCCACTCTGCTCATCATCAGCAAATTCCGTCACGTCCTAGACCTACTTCACCGATGCCTCATGTTCGTGAAGATTTACAGCGTCAGATTGAGCGGAATCGTATCTCAAGATACAGTGCAGAGGAAATTGAAGTTCTCCGTAAACGCTTGGCCGAACTCGAGACTCGACAGAAGTCACAGGAAGATTCTCCCCGACATGTCTTGACATCGGGAAATGTCATTATTGAAGCTGATTCACCTTTACCTCCGGAGCTTACCGCGGAAGCACTCCCTGCTAAGGTAAAAATTCCACAAATTGGCATGTATGATGGAACCTCGGACCCAGATGCGCACTTGGGTCATTATATGTCGTGGATGGATTTGCATGGAGCCTCAGATGCTTTGAGATGTCGGATGTTTTCGCTTACACTGGGACCACGAGCACAAAAATCGTACTATACTCTTCCACCTCATTCAATTTGGAAGTGGCAACAGTTACGTGCGGCCTTCCGATCACACTTCATCGGAGCTCAAATTTGTCTCATCCCAAAAGAATCAATCACTAACATCGTGCAAAAGGATGACGAAACTGTTAAGGACTACGTGTCTCGGTTCAACGACCGAATTCAGAATATGGAGCCTTGTCACCCTGAGACCCTGTTAGTAACCGCAATCGCTGGACTGAAGCCCAACTCGATGTTTCGCTGGACCCTATGCCAAAACAAACTGGCTACGTTTCAAGAATTCCTTGTACGAGCTCAACAATTCATTATTGCCGAGGAATTGATGTCAGTTCCCAGTTTCGACTTCTCGGCGAAAGAAAACAAGACTGAACCGGATGCTAAAAAGAAGAATAAGAAGAACTTTGGGAAAGCACAATTTCGGAATTTCTCCAAAGGATATGAAAACACTCCAGAGTCCAGGGCCGCTTGTGATCAATATTCAGACAATGTCAGGACGGGCTATCAGGCCGTTTATTCAGCTGGAGCAGCTACTATATATGAAGAACTGAAAGGAAAAGGGATTATTCCAGACCCGAGACCCTTGAGAACTCCTGAAGACAAGCGGGACAAAACTCGGTACTGTGCATACCATAAGTCTCCGAAACATAATACCGATGAGTGTCTCGGTCTTTTGTCAGCCCTCTTATGGTTAATTGGACAACCTCAACTTCAAAAGTTCTGAAATTTTGACAATCGCCGGAAAGGGAGGCCCTTAGATCTTTCAGATGATGAAGATGATGATAATGGACCTGTTAACCCGAAAAGAGCCTGTGCAAACGATAAGGAGGTTTTCACATTTTCTACTCTTGTCAGAACTTCGACCGATAACTATAAAAAATCAAGGACACATGGTACCTTAGACTCTTCACATTGCATACCTCGAGTCAATTCTAATAATAAACAGCTGGACACTTCTCGACGGAAAGCCAAAGCCTACGCTCGGGAGGCACAAAATGCCGAGAAACGAGTCATGAATGTTGATCTTCGAGATACTATTAACAAACGGAATTGTCCTATCACATTCAGTATCGAAGATGCCAATCTATTCGCTCATCCTCATTCCGACGCCCTTATTATCACGGCCCCGATTGGAGGGATCCCTGTTCACCAAATTTTGGTCGACACAGGATCTTATTCAAGTATTTTGATGCTCCGCACATTCAAGAAATTGGGTTTGGACCCAGCAGATATTAGACCTTGCAACGACCAAATTCAAGGTTTTAACGGAAGCATCTCTTGTCCCGTCGGCGAAATATTACTCCCCATTCGATTTGGCAGTTTTGGGCCAAAATCCAAGATTATCATGGAGACTTTCAAAGTCTTGGATGTCCAGAATGAATATAATGCTGTTATAGGGCGAACTGCACTTTACAAGCTCCGTGCTGCCGTGTCGATTTTTCATTATGCCTTGAAGTTCCCTACCATTGAAGGAGAAGGCACTCATTACGGAGATCAACGAGAAGCCCGAAGTCTGACGTTGCTTTCAACGTCGCGTAACTTTCATATGATTGAAGAGCAGGATACTGATAACTCTATTGAGTTGAACAACCCAACTCCTTCTGATGCTCAAAGGACTAATCAATTCACTTAAACTACCGACATCCCTCTTCTTGCAGATACCAATGTCCTTGTGACGTTGGATTTGCCTGAAACACTAAATGAAACCCTTGATCAAGAACAATCTTTTCATGAAAAAGACATAGGAATATGCGAAGATATGGATCTACGGATGCAATTCAAAGATGGGAACCATCATGCTCGAGCAGAACCAGTCGAAGACATCGAAACTATTTACGTGGATGGATTGACTCAGGAAAAATCATTGCGCATTGGAGCTAACCTTCAAGAACCCACACGGTCGTGCTTAATTCAATTTCTTCAGTCAAATTCTGACGTATTCGCTTGGAAGCATGAAGACATGAAAGGAATAGACCCGCAAAAAGCATGTCATTGCTTAAATTTGGATAAGACTGTCAAGCCCGTCATACAGAAATGCCGAAAATTCAGTCCAGATCGCCAGAAGGCTCTTGAAGAGGAAGTGAACAAGCTCATAGACAATAAGTTCGTCAAAGAAGCCAAGTACCCGACGTGGATATCAAATCCTGTCTTGGTTAAGAAAGCCACCGGCCTTTGGCATCTGTGTATTGATTTCTCGGATTTGAATCAAGCATGCCCGAAAGATAGCTATCCAATTCCACACATTGATTACATGGTAGACGCTACATCGGGACATCAACTCATGAGCCTTTTGGATGCCTATTCCGGTTACAATCAAATTCCCATGCACCCTGATGATGCTGAACATACATCGTTCTACTCAGCCCGAGGTCTGTATTGCTATGTCATGAT